GGGGGGGTATTCCACTACAAAAGAAGTTCTGTACGACGCACATTCGTAACTCTTTGCGGTTTCACGAGATGCACGAAATAAATAAAATAAAATAAAACGCATGGTCATGAAGAGCCGACGATGGTGTTTTCAAATGCATCGAAAATACGCAGCGAACGCAGACCGAAGTATGGAGACAAAGCTGTCTTGGGGCCAAGTTACAAGCATAGATGCCACATTCCTTACGTTATACACACACTTTCTTCCCTCACGACAGTTATTGAATTGATTTTTTAAAAGTGTTTCTATTTTGCGCATGCCATTAGCCCAATCAGAATCTAAAGTATCTAGCTCAACAATAATGAAATGCGGACTGTCCAAGTTCAAAAATGACCCCCGGAGCATTCAACCAAGTCTGTTATATGTGGGTCATCTCTATCAGAAATGAACACTGAAGCAGAAGTACCACCCCTTATTATGTTGATTGGGGGAAAAAAAAGGGGGGGGGGGGGCAAAAAAAATCATTCCATTCAATGGCAAACCCTTCTCCTCTTTCTCATTTTCCCGGCTCTCATCCCAACTTTTCTTCCCCATTTATATTCTTTTTCTGCCCTTTCTCTTTCTCATTCTTATCGCAGACCTTTCTCTGCGACCATTAGGTAAATGATCCGTGCTTTCGAGGATTATGTTACGTATAAAACAACTGCAGTCCGGTGTAAGGACAGCACTTACAAGCCTTGTCAACCCGTGCAAGCGATCCGGGGGGCTTAAAGCCAATCCACCGATCTGCTCCCGCTGCACAGAGGCGTATCGCAGATGTGACCCACAGTGGGTTCTCCAGTCGACTCTGACACAGTTATTTCTACTAAGTAGCGGAAACCGTTAGAGTAACACTTACCATGCCCGGTGCCGGCAGTAACTAATGGCGGGACAACAGCCCGGCCACACATGCAGGACCGAGGGCGAGGGGCGGGCGCTGCCGGGAGGCCGGCAGACCGGCACAATGTGACGGACATCAACCAGAACGTTTTACGTACAATAACTTATTATAAATTATAATGCAGTTGAGAAAGAGACTGAAGAGTGAGATAAAAAAGAAAAAGAAATGAAGGGTAGATAGTAAGACACGCGTACAGACAGACAGACAGACAGACAGACAGACAGACAGACAGACAGACAGACAGACAGACAGACAGACAGACAGACAGACAGGCAGACAGTGATTAAGGAGAAAAAAACAATAGTGAGATCTTCAATATTTTTCATATATTCACACTGAATAATTTATGCCATGATCAGGTAACAGGTATTCCTTATTTCAAGGTAGACAGACTATCCCTGAACTGAACAAGGACTACTGTCTGGAGCATCTTGGCCCCAACACATGTACCAATAGACCTAGAGCATTTGAAGCAAGCCATTCTGGGAATCTTTGACAACTAATATATCATGTATACTACAAAGTACTACAAGAAGTTTTGAGAAAACTCATTGCACACTCACCCAGATGGTGTGGTCTCATTTCCATCATCTTCATCATTCAGATCACTGTCCTCAGCATCGTCATCATCTTCTTCAAGATCATCATCCCAACTGGGCATCTTTGAAGCAGTAACCATCTTTTTCTCAACATTGCGGAAATTTTTCGCTGGAGCTCCATCAGCCTTTGGTCTGTGCTCTAAAGCCGACAAAACAGGCCCTGGTTTTGCCCTGCCTTTCAGATTGCTGAGTGAGTGCGCATGGCGGGGAGCAAGAGGTTTGGACGCAGGAGTTACAGGAGTTCTGCCAGATTGCTTGGTGCCCAAGGGCTTTGCTTGAGTGATTGATTTTTTGGGGTACTGTTTCTCATCTACTGACCCAGCCCTGTCAATGGAACCCTGACTCAAAGACAGTCTCTTCTCTTGAGACAATGGTTTATTATGCAACTGTATACTAGCATTAGAACGCTCGAAAGGAGGGCGGCTAAGAGGTGGCTTGCTGGTAACCTGAGAAACAGAGCTCAAAGCAATTTCTGCATGAGAAACAGAAGAGTCAGCTTTGTTAGCACTTTCTGCTTGCTGCTCATCTGCAGTGAGTTGGCCTGATGTAAAAGATCCATTCTGGGCTTGTAAGGCTGCTGAAGATGGGGTAGTCTTGTAAGACAAATGATCAGACAAACTTGCTTTCCTATAATACAAAGTTCCAGTCAAAGTATTTGTCACTGGCATCTTTTTGAGAGAAGATATTTCCGAGACTTTAGATTGGTTGTCTGGGGTCTTCTGATATGTGGCTTCTTCTGAAAAATGTGTAATAGTGAAGTTTGAAAACAGGTATTCTGCATTTCAGTTGAAATGAAGCTTGTTACACATCGCAAAACATGTCAGTACAAAACTTTATGAAATGTATTGAGCTGAAATTTTCTGGTAGAAAATCGATACATTTCTCAATTTTCCATTACAGAAAGCTATTGATCATCAAATACCCCGACAAAAAAACTACCAATAATAAGCCTTAATCTCATGAAAATGTGGTTGCAAGCTTATTTACCTAAACACACAGGTGGAGTAAATTTTAATCCTGATTTTCTCAAGAGTAAAATGGTTCTCTTCTGGAATCCTAAGAATAAATGCTGACAATATTAATTTCAGCGCCAAAAGATCTTGCCAGGTCAGCAGTATAATGAGACACTTCACAGAAATAAGGTGTCTGAACCTGCCTCACAAATGCTACATACTACAATGAAAAAAACCGATTGTCATACAACATGTGTAACCTCTAGAAGAATACAGATTTTCAACACAAAAACATCATGTATGTCTTGATAAATGAATTTTCAGATGCCAAATATTAAAAAGTACCAACTTACAATATGAAAAAAGTGCTTCAGTGGAAAAAAGTATAAAATTACAATGACAACTGTGATCTCAATATGAATGGGCAAAAAATAAAACAGTTCATGGAACTTTCAACAATGCAGTAGCATTCTTTCTACTTTCGTCACATGTTTTTTGACAATTAAGAAAAGGCAAGGAGAAAACAAAACTAACATCAGGCCAATTTCTTTACAGATATCTCCAATTAAACTGCACTCCTTCCAGTGGACTTAATTCTGAAAAACTACTCATTATGACTGGCACTGGGAACAATCATAACAATCCTCTTCAAGCATGAACAAAGATAGCTATTTAATACTGATGAAACAGAACATTTTTTTTTCATCTCTAGACTCAAGAGGTTCCTGTGCTACTTTTTTTTTGCATCAGCTGTCACAGATTCCTGTCCCCCTAATTATATTTTGGATTTAGAGGAAGCCTTTCAATTTTATCCATCCTTGATTTTTAAGAAATATATAAAAAACATTTTTAAAAACTTCCATCCTTCAAGTATGTGTTTGTCCATTTATATGGAATACTTATTATGAGGGGACCAAAATGCTTTAAATATTGATCTAATTTGTCATAGAGAGATACTTGTGCCCAACTGCTTGCCTATTTAGTAGCCACATTTGAAAGTTTGAAAGTCTATTGACAGTGACATGAGGCTACTCAAAGCAATGGATACTGCTCAAAGACGTTTTTATTTTATTTTATTTTATTTTTTACTTTGGGGGTGGGTGGGGGGTGTTCACCTTAGTAGATAATCGCATTCACTATCACCATTTGTCTATGATAAGTAATAAAAAAAAGAATTACCTGCAGCGTTATTTGTTCTATTCGGTTTGTGACCATATGTGTTACCATCCCTGTTTTCAGAAGAAGCCTTTGTCATATTGTGCGGCGGTGCAGTGTAGCAAGTGTAAGATTCAGGACTAGACTCCTTGCTTGAGACATCCTCTTTGTAAGGTTTGTTTGGACTGTAGTCTGGGTTTCTCACAGGCGGGGACACATAGCCTTGAGAAGCTGAGGTTTGGCTGGGTTTCTTAGGTAATGCTGTATCGCTGACTTTGTTGACAACACTAGATACTAAAGGAGTGGACAAAGAAGAGGAAGCTGTGCTGGCAAACTGGAACTTCGTCTTCATCATAACTTTGGATTCATTGTACTGCTTCACCGAGGATTCAGACCCAGAACTATTTTGCCTTTGTAGTTGTGAATTTGGTGCATCACTTGGAGATTGACTCTGTTTCTTGGTAAGCGATTTGTCCTTGTTTCCTCCAATTCCACTCAATGGTCTGAGGAACGAATTTCTCTGCAAAGAATGATTGGTTACATCTGTTGAGGTCTTCTCTGCAACTGTTGAAATTGTGCTTTCAACCATCTTTCTAGCCTTCTCCCCATTGATATTAGCAGCCACTTCAGTCGCACTCACAGGTCTGACGTAGGGATTAGAGGCGTTGGAAGTTCTTCTGTTCACCCCCTGGGTCAAGGCATGCTGAGGAGCTTTTGGAGTTGTTGATGTACTTTCAAGTGTGAGTATTTGGTGTGCAGCATTGATGTTGCCTGTATAGTACATCCCACTAAAATTGTAACTATTAACCCCTCCTGGATCTTTACTGATCATCCCTATGTCTCCCTGGTTAAATAGATGCACTGACTGCGTCTTAGATGTGTTGTACTTGAACATTGGCTTGTTTGCCTGTTGCCTTAGAGGCAACTGTTTCTTGAGCGACAATTCATCAAGACCAGCAGTAACCTTCATTGCCTCCTGGTTTCCATCATAGGGAATACTGCTCCTATCCATTGCATCTCGATATGCATCTGGATTCATTTTTCCTCAATTTTATCTACTCTGACAGTATCCCACTCATATTTGCCTGAAGAGCACAGGCTAAAGGGCACTGAAAAAAGAAAAATTAAAATTCAATGCAAAAACAAGATCACTGTTTTACCCAAACAAAGATTATAAACTATAAATAGGCTATGTCTGGGAACTAAAATAAATTGACCAGAATCTGGAAAAAACTGTCTTATAATATAAAAGGGAAAAAAGCCTTTTTCTCAAATGTGACTCCTTTCAAGATAATTGTGAGGTATCGTGCTGAAATTAGGCACTCATCAAAATAATTAAATCAAAGATATCGCCAGTTTACAATTTCTATTGAATTTTGGTTCTTTCGCTCAACACCTTTGGCTTTTATGCCAATTTAAAAACAATTTTTTTGAGTGTATTTTACAGAAAAAATGTTGATTAAAGGCTTAAAAATATAAATATTCAGTTTCCAAGGACTCTCATGCTATGGAAAAATACCAAATGCTGGCAGCCATTTTCTCGCTACTTTTACCTCATAAACCAGGCAACCCCACCTTGTTCAATTGCAAATATCTCGACTTCTGTTCAAGATAGATGGGTATTTTTTTCATTGAAACATAGACAAATGAACAAGTTTTAAAATGATACCAATAACCTCCCCTGCCCAAAAATTGAGGAGCGCCTCATTCCTCTGCGTTTTATTGTAACACAATTTCTTAAAAAGCTGTATTTAAACTTAGTACAAGTTCCAATAATGTTGAGGATGAATATTATATCAATGAACAGCAACTTAGTCCCAAAAATATTATTGCATTGACCTTTAATTAAAAGCCACAATAATGTGGTAAGAATAGACTTTATAGACTATTAACCTGCAAATTATCTGTTTTTTGTTTTTAAAAAATACAAAGGTTGGGAATGATTGTGAAAATGAATTCCACACATAGACACAGTCATATAAAATGTGATAATAAAAATAAGCCTGATATAAATTCAGATGATTCAGTAGAAACACCTTGATCACCAGACTGGAGTAAGCAGAATAACAATTTCTGATCCTTCTCCCAAATTAAAACACAAAGCCGAACAAAAGAATTCGCCAGTCAAACATAATATAATGCATACACATGGGAAAGACAAATTCAAACATCCATAACTAGAAAAAACTTTTTTATCTCAGGATACCTCACTCCCATCTCCCCCCTCCCTATATAAATTCCTCATATTTCTATATCTTCTAGACAATATATATGGTAGTAAATGTAGCTTTTTGACCCCTTGTCTTTGCACATCAAAAAGGGTAAAAGTTTATCTGATGTCTCCTCTCAGAATATGCTCAACTTACTAAACACACCCAGTGTCTCCCTCTCTCTGTTGAGCCAACATGGAGGTAGCCATGCCTGTCAGGCATGAAAGAAGATTTTAACTTTTATGTCGCATAAGTCATTTTATGAAGGGAAACTTCACCTAAACTTTACCCAAAAAATGTTGGCAGCATTATAACAGTAAATTTAAAGGCATAGGGTGAAACAATGCTTCTCACTCCTAAGGTAGCTCAGGTTATTATGTGATTTCCACTCCAAAGTGAAATTAACACATCATTTGTGTCACGACACAGTGGAATCAGGCACTTGTCAATTTTGGGGCATATGGAGTTATGTATCATTTTAAAGCCAGTCCATTTGCCTTTCTTTTGATGGGAAAAAAATATGTTTATATTTCGCGTAAAAGTTACGTTGGCAATTGAAGGAGGTGGGGGGTCACGTAGCTTGAGAGGTAAAATAAGCGAGAAACAGCCGCCAAAGTTGCGTTATTTCCTTAGCTTGAAAGTCCCTGGAAACTGAAAAATTATATCTTTTATGCCTTTAATCAGCGTTTTTCAGTAAAATCCACAAAGAAATGTGTTCTTTAAAGGGCATGAAAGGTGTTCAGCCAAAAAACAAAAATTCAGAGAAAATTCCAAAATCTACGCGGAAATGCCAGTTTCTTCACTGTCATTCTTTTGACGAGCGTCTGATTTCCCCACGCTGCATCATATTTTATAACGAAACAGAAATGAATAAAACTTGCAAATTTTTATTTAGGCTCCTTTTCATAATTTTGCCGTGTGAGAATTGCTCACTTCCATGGAATCACTACACAGTACAGAAAAAAAGCAATGCTAAAGTGACTTGAAATTTATGCACAAAAAATATCACAACTGTAGCAAAAAGTGAAAATGTAACTTCATATTTATCATGGTATTCTTATAAAACTCACGATATTTCATGCATGACAAGCATAAACAAGAAAAAAACAAAACCAAACCAAAACCTAAGATTTCTGTTCAAATATAAGGCCTCATGAAATATCATCTTCTGTACAAATGAAAATGTGCGTATCTACAGAGAACTATAGATCATGTTCTATTCGTTAATAATCTAGCTGTTCAATAGCTCACAAAATTTTATGATAAGGTGAACATTTGTTAATGACCAATCTATCATAGAATCTACCATTCCAGTTCTCTCAGTATATATCATACAGAGCCTAGATTCCAGTGCCTAGCTTATAAACCAAAATCCATCCTCTCTATTTCTGTCCATTACAAAGTAGCCTACCAATGAGCATAAAATTGGGGTTCTAAAACACATCAAAAGTAGACCTAGGTAGCTTAATTACTTTCCAAAGGACATAACTTAACTTCAACATATCCAGCCCCAAGGCAGCTGGAGATCAACATCAAACCTCTCATACTTACTTGCTATAACATTGTTCTATAGACTAGAGGCTGTGCACCTCGGACACCTGCTGCGGATATTATTATAGGGGTACAATATTCAATTCTAATCTATGGCCAAGTATTACATCATCAGCTGATGGGTTAGCATTTTGGGGGGGCAACATACAGGAGGAACAGTTAATCTATAATCCACAAAGAAGGAGCAGAGATGGGCCTTAAAATTTAAAGGGTCACGGCATGGGGCTTATTTTTCCAGATTCCAACACTTTATCACTTTTACAGAATTTGGGTATTTAACTACCACATTTCCAGATAATGATTGTTTTGGGTAGTGTTCTATATACAAAATTGTCCCTTTGCACTAAAATCTCCCCCCTTTTCCCTTTTATTTGTGCGCTGGAATGAAAGTTTGAGAAAGTAAAAATTTACTCACAGTTCCTGAGATATTTGGATTTCAAAGCAGTTAAGCATAGATCTATATATACCCAGAATTGTAGTAGTAGATCTAGTATATATAGACTACCCGAATTTTTTATATATTTAAAGTGAATAAAACGTAGAAATCTAGATCTAGAAATATTCCATAGATCTAGATCTACTAGATTCTACTTAGATCTAGATCTAGATCTAGTTTCGCTCTTTGACTTTGAACTCAGATATATGTCATTTTATTATAAAATATTATATTTATATTATAATGTATATAATTAAGTAGATTTCTAGCTATAGTATAGAGACTAGGCCTATACACTATAGAAGATCTAAATCTAGACCTAGATTATATCTAGTGTTTCTTAACAGCTAGGTTTCCATCTGTATTTTTGGGGGGTAGAGGGTGGGCATTTACAATGAAAATAAGGGGAGGACTTCTGTAACAAGCGACCACTGTGAGACATATCAGAATTGAAGGCTAGGGGTAGGGGTAGGGGTAGATATACGGGTAGGGGTAAGGGTAGGGGTACGGGTAGGGTTAGGGTTAGGGGTAGGGTTATGGTTAGGGTTCTAAGGCCTCTTCTTTATTGTGTTTGATGGGGTGGTCGCTCGTTACAGAAGTCCTTCCAAAATAAGAACCACAATGATAATGAAAGAAAGCAGGCTTTCATAAATGCGTTTCCTTATTACATGACATGATTAATGAAAGGGTGGCTTTCACTTTCGTTCATTATCATGTATGTGGTTTTTATTTTCACTATACTGTGCCTGTTTCCCCACTACCCTAGGAATACGGCACGGTATGGACAAAAACTTCTCGCTAAGTAACACCCGAGTTCAAAGCTTCCAAGTCAAAAGAACTAACAAAGTATTTAAGTAACTAGATCTAGTCTAGTACTACTATAACCATTAATTGACGCCATTGACTCTAAACCTAGATCTAGAATCTCTACATCTCTAGATCTAGAATCTAGATTCTAATCTCTATTCCTTGACGTTGGAGGAGTGATCAACGTTGATGATTTATTACATGACATTGGGACGACAGAATGGCTGTCGCCCAACATTCCTTGTGATTATGCGTCCCCCTCATTTAATATGAAAGTGGAGTTCATAAACATACCTACCAACAAGTGTCAACTATCCATTCAGCTTCCTTATTTTGAAAAAGACACTGAAAAAAGTTCCAATGGGGATCTACCCCACTCCCATTGTACCGCTTTCCTCCATTCATCAACAGTGCGTATCGATGCTAAGATACAGCGGAATGCTGGAAGTCGACCAATCAAAACACACAGAGAAATGTTATGTCACCAATGGGAAACCTCAAGATTCAAGGGCAAGTACTCTAATAAAACAGGAAAAAAATCCATCGCGCATGTTTTCTTCTGTCCCTTCTTTTTGTCCATAATAATTATTATGAACAGGAGCTGTTGTCTCTTGTGATGTGTGCCTTTCTTTTTCTCCTCTCTCTCTCTCTCTCTCTCTCTCTCTCTCTCTCT